CTAACTGCTTGAATATTCAGAAGCGACTTACAGCACTTCCAGGCTAAAGGAGATGTACTGCTCAGCAGTAACTGCTGTCCAACCTGTGAATGTCAGGACATCCACGGCCTTCTCCATTTGTCATCTGGCCCCCTCTTAGAATACAAGAACAGAACTTCCTGAGCTTTCTTTCTATTCAAGAATAGGTCTTGTCCCTCAATTTTATGGCATAAAGGAGGATGTCTTGACTTCTGGAATCATGGCCTCCTGCAGGTTTCCTGTGGGAAGTTCAGTACTCACCAGGCCTTAATTCTGTACAGTAATTATAAGGTAAAAATTTTGTGGATAAATACAAAATTTTCACTACAGCAAAGAGGAGATGTAGTAGTTATGTTATTCAAATTCTTGTATTTAGAGTCAGTCAATTTCAGAGTAATCTGCAAAATCCACTCCAGCTTACTCAGAAGGACTTTTTAGCCAGAGGAAAGAAATCTCATAAAGGTTGGCAGGCTGAGCAGAAGTTCAATAAACTTTGATGTCTCCACCGGGACAAAGAATTGTGTAAACCCAAAAGGCTCCAAATCTTAATACAGATAATCATGTGTCATTACTGAGCCACCAAAAGCCGAGGCTACGAGTTCCAATCACTCTATCCTAGACCTTCAGAAGGTCACCTTCTTGCTCAAAATGGAGCTGGACAAACAAAAAAGACTGGAAAGTCTGTGCGAAATGAGTCAACAATCTTAAGTGCTCTGGAAAACTGTCTGTATAAAAATTCTAGACAAAATCAGGATTTCTGCTCAGAAATCACACGCCCTCTGAAAATGAGAGGAGCTCCACTCCTGAAGACTCCTTCCCCTGAGCACCAATACTGGCCATCACCTCAGCACTCTCTTCTACCCTTTCGACTGGATCCCATTTGGAATGAATTACTTCCCTTCTAGACTGATGCTGTATTATTCTTGATTTTGATTGGGGTCTAAAGAACATAAGGCCTAGAACAGTAAGATTTATTCCATTTCTCTTCTCCCTGAGCAGTTTACTATTACCATTAAGAGAGACTATGAATAAATCCCAAAGGCAATATTAAAGCAGTGCTGGTTGTTCAACTATCATCAACAAATTAATGTGGCCTGTTAAAGAAGCCCTGTTAAGTTGATTTTTCAAGCTTGGTCTTTGATTTCTTCCCTTTCCCAGAAATCCAACTACTCATTATTATTTTCCCACTGCTGATGCAAGACAGTATCTCCAATTCCTTTTGTTCTTTTTAATCATATTTATTTCCTTGATTGTGGTGAACTTTAAGCTCCAGAGTCTTTGAAGCTGTTTTCTGACATTTTCGGGGCTATCCATAGACAGATGGAAAGATAGCCATGAATCCCTTAGATCTTTTTATTACTCAGTTAAGTATTTTTCTTATCTATTTTCCTGGGCAGTTCCTGCTTTAAACAAGAAACCTTGCAAAGAAGGATTTTAAACTGACTGCTATGGTGACAAGGCAGACAGGTCTACAGAAATACTCAGTCTACACCCTACTGAGTGCATTAAAAAGAGGCCCTTAAAGAATGACATTGGGAGAAGAATTAGATGAATACTATATTTTATTGCAGTTAGCCATATTAGTCTTTCTTTTGATGAGGCTTCCTTTCCCTTAGCTCCAGTGTACACTGAGAATTAAAAAAGGAAAACTTACTGTTATGGAATAAACATAATCTAATTGTGCAGTATGAAAGTATTTCTGTGTAGTCAAACATGTCTTGGTAATTAAAAAAACCCACTCAGTATCTAGTATGTCAGGATATATAAAATATTCTAACAGCCAGAGCAATGGTTTAGAAATAATTTCTCTCTCCTGTCCTTGCGGAAGCATCTTTCCTATAGTGGAGGTGCTGAAAGGAAATTACAGTAGATTCAGGAACACAACCTATTTTCACTATATTTCTTCAGTTCTTTGAAATTAATCTCATATGCAACAAAACAATCTGTCAAACTGCTATAATGCATGAACTTATCTAGATCATTATATTATATATATTACATTTCAACCACACTGTGAGTCTTTCAAGCAATTAAAGAAGATCCGTACTAAGGAAATCCATGTAATAAACCACTTATTGGCAGAAAAAAAGATATACCAGTCGGAGAAATCATTAGCAAAAAGCTGTGACAGCATAGTTGTAAAAACGTAAGTAAAATCACACAGGAATACCAAGTGAGAAAATTATCTCGGAATAAGACAGTATGCCCTGTAGTGAAAACAAGTCAGGGAAAATGAAGATTATAAGCATGAGGGAAAAAAAGACTTATCATCAAGCGAAAAAAACCAAACTCTATTCAGTCTTTGGAAAGAAGTCAGACTTTGCGGGTTTCACGGATAGAATGAAAAACTCAGACTGCAGTTAGCTCACTTCAGTATTTCTGTTTGTCAGAGTTAACATAAGAAAATGGCTGAGGAGGTGGAGAGGCAGGAGGTCAGGCAGTGTGGGCGTTAAGAAGGATGGAAAGATAAAAAGAATTTGCAGCAGTCAAAGCGACAATAAGTTTCTGAGGAGGCTGCCATGTCCTTTCAAATAAAAAAGAATAGCATGATTTTAAGACGTCGTTTTCAAAAGACACTTGTCTCTCTTATAATAATAATTCAGACTGTAGTAGACTTAAAAGGAGTGATTTCTAAAATTTCTAAGATAGATGAAGGCTTGACCTCAATAATAAGATTCTACCCTTGCCACTTGCCATAGAACTCTGCATAATACTAAGCAAACCACCTAAAATTAAAGTTCTTACAGGTGGCCACCAATTACATGCTTTTCATTTTCTAATCTAGACTTAGGAGTCTGGGATCTGATTTGCAGAAATACTGAGTATTTACAGCTGTGTCTCATTAAAGACTCTGAAGTTATTCAAGGCCAAGTACAGCCAACTTTGGCCACTCTTTATTGCCTGGAACAGAACTACCTGAGACAGAGAGACTGACAGACAGATTCAATGTCTGAGAGGAATGTTTAATCCTCAATATAAAGTTGAGAATCTGAACCTCAAAGACAAAAGTAAAGTTTTTCACATTTTTGTGCTCTACAACATCTCAGCTAATAAACTCTCCTGGATTCAGAAGTAGCATGTCACCTCCTTTCTAACGATATTTTGGACCAATCTCTGCCTCTAAATTATCTTCTTTTGCAACCAGAACAGCTCTTTCCTTCTCCGTATTTATTTTCCCAGCCCATGGTGGTTTTTCTTACAAATTCTGCAGCCAGCTCTGGGAAGGCGAGTCCTGACCTAAACAAAGAAGATGTAACTCCACTCAGAGCTTCTGCACCACATTCCTCAAAAATTAAAAAGGATCAGATCTGTGTGAGTATTCACAAAGTGTAATGATGAATATTACAGACAAGAAGAGGCAGTAAGTCTTCTCAGAGTAGGAATAAGCAGTATGTCAAAAGTAAGGTCTAAGTCCACATGTCAAGAAACAAAGAAAAATGTATTGTTCTTTGTGTGAGCACCATTTGTCAGATTAAATGAGGCAGCATTTCTAGGGAAAAATAGTGGAGTTCAGTGTAATTGAGTGTAATGTTTTTAAAAATAATGCAATTTTCAGAGAGTAACCCAACATATGCAGAAGAATTAGCCAACATTTTTATGGGCAACCTTAAAATTAGACATTTAACTTTCCATAATGCAAACACTGTTATTAATATTACTGTTAAAAGTTTTATATCTCTATTATATATTTATATTAATAATAAAATGTTAATTACTCATATTATTGTAATACTTAACCTTTTTCTGCTGTTTGCAGGGAAAAGCAATTATAAGATGCACGATCTTTCCTGTGTTGTCTGTTCCACTTCTTGTTTTTTCAAACACCACAGGTAAATCAAAAACCTGTGCTATAGATTTTCTCTTAAGAAACAGAAGTCTTCACCAGCCTAGGTAAAGATCAGCCCCATATTTTATTATAGTTTTGATTCAATAAATCAGACAATATCCCGAAGCAAATTTTTTCTTATTTAGAAAATTACCACATAACATCTAGCATATTCTGAAATGATTTTGTAACTTTTTTTGTATCTGCCACTTTTAATAATCTCATGTTATATTTGATAGCTTATAGTCTCTAGTTTAGATAAAATCTTTAACACATGGTTTTGCCCTTATCAGACTTTTTATTCAGCACAGTAGCAGATTAAGCAGCGTTTTGCTTTCTTATGATGTCTACTTTATTTTTTGTTCTGACAAATTCAATACGGGAATAGAAGGATCCAATTTTGACTAAAGTAAAGGCTACAAATCCAGAGCTAACACTTCCCTCTCCAAAGAAACAGCAACAAAACAATGAAATAGATGTAATAGACTATCAAAAATATAATGGTGGTCAAGCAAACAGTCAAGCCCTCAATTCAACAGGACGTGTAAGGGTATATTTATCTGTGGTTTTATGAGCTATCCCAGTGACAAAAGGCTATACGGTACTTTGAGTAAATCTTGTTTTTAAGTATGTGCTGAATCAAAACCACGATGTATGTGTGAAATATTAAACTTAAGTATTTTCCAAAGGCTATTTAAAAAGGGGTTTTACACCCGAGCATCAGGTCCCAGCGACCTCTTGAGGCATGAGATTCTAGGGGTAGTTCTGTTCTATACTTTAGGCCTGGCCCCACACCCAGATGTTCTGGGAAAAGACAGGAGGATACAGTGAAAGCACATGAATGATCAGGTACCTGGATCCACTGCAAGTGGCAACGCTCCTCTTAAAGCCTCCTCTGCTCTCCTGCTCTCTCACCGCCCCCACACATATAGAGTCACTCATGTCCTAACACAGACTGCAGCCGTATGCCACAATTTGCAATTTGCCATAGTTAAAACTTGTGTTTTTCATAGTTCGTAACACTTTTGTTTCCCCAATTTATTTGGTGGACTACTTTTAATCTGTTAAGTCCATTTTACACCCACTGATGCTAACTACAGTTGTCCACATGCAACGAAAGAACAGCTCCAAATGGTGCCCGCGCAGGCTAACTCACCCTGGCTGTGTGTCATCGGTTACGCAATGGTATGTAAAAGTTCCAAACATCTGCACTCCCAGGATCCCATACAGAAGGAGAAAGAAGAGAAGGAAAATTGAAACACTCCAGATTTGCTCTCCAGATCGCCTGGCAAAAGGATAAACATGACACTGAATGCACAGGCAACGTGAAGCCTCCACTGAAAAGCTCCAGAACAGAAAATATGCTCACACAGAGGAAGCAGTATTTCATCCTGCAGAAAAATTTGTCCTTAGAACTGCTCTCTCGCTCTGTGCAGAGACAGAAAAGGGAGCCACAATTTTTTCTAAACCCGTTAGTTATGGCAATTAAACCAGCTGTAAAGTACAAAGGATAAAATAACAAAAAACCCACAACCAATAAAAATGTCTAGCCTTTGTACAATAGTATCTAATGATTTATACAGACAAGATATGATGATCAAGTAAAGGTGATACCAAAGAAAGACCAAAACACTCACATTACCATCATATGGCTTTTGTCTTTCTAGATATGCTGTACCAAGCACACTTATGTGTGTTTGCTTGCATGTAAGCATCTCTGTACATATACCAATACACCTACACACATACCTGTAATAGGGCAGGAATTTTTATATATTGAATACTACTCTGCTAAGAGTGTTCACCTTGATTACTAAGTGCCCATGTTAACAGAACAGAATTTACTGCCCATTAGTTGAAAATTGGTGGCTACAGTTATTAGCAAAGTGCTTTAAGAATTATTTAAATATTTGACAGTTTCGATTATTTTGTAGGAAACTTGATTATACCTTAAATGTGAAAAATAGCAAGAATGTTTTGGCCAGAACTAAACCTGAGGATGAAAATGCTCATTAAGCATAAAGGGTCATTTTCTGAGCTGCACAGTCTGCCTTCTAAGTCAAAACAAATCTCCTCTGTTGTTCTTCAGATAACAGCCTTACTTACTTCAAGATATTTGTTATCCTAGTTCTTGGCAGCTCAAAACGAAAATATATCCGGAATGCTCGAATCATAATGAGTGGTCGTGGAATCCGTAACATGCCCCAAGGTGACATCTGGTCAACTATTTCAGCAATTTCAAACACCTACAAACAAAACAATCAGTTTTTCTCAATCCTGAATTAATTTACAGAACTTTTAAAACTATGAATAGTGTACATGATTTTTATTTTCATTTTCAATCTTCTCTTTGTTTATTTTACAGTTCATTTTAACCATGTTTTTTAAAAGAAAAGTCTTAGTAAAATCCTTTAATCCATTTCTAAGTTATCCTAATGAAATTCCAAAAATATACTCTGCCTGTATTCATAATGCTTCTGTCTCAAACAATCCAAGAAGACTGTGCAAGCTTGTGTGAGCTGCCTGTTTCTCTCCTAGTCCTATCCCACAAGTTCCCCACAACTTCATTAAAACTGAATAATTTACATTTCCAAAACCAAAAATCAGCATCTGCTAATGTTGCACACTCTAAGGCTTTTACTATGACATAGAAGTACATACGAACAGATTGCCTTATGACCTGCAACATGCTTATAAATTCTTCATTTAATTCCAAGTGCAGGATGTATGGGATTTGTGTCTGGTGGTGTTTTGGTAGTTGCGGTGGCAGATACATGGGTGGCTCCTCTGCAAAGCTCCTGGAGGCCTCCCCAGCTAAAAATCGGACCTACCACTGGCCATGGCCAAGCCAGTCAGCACCTCTAGGATAAACATATTTAAGAGGTGAAAAACTTGCTGGGCAAGTTCTTTTGTTTGGCAAGTTCTTTTGTCTTGGGGAGGACTGGGGAGTGAGAGGAGCAAGCACGCTGTCACTGAGGTTGGTACTGAAGGAAAAGGAGAGGTGAGTCAAAGATTCCACTGCAGCCTGTGGAGATGAATGGTGGAGCAGATTCCTATCTGCAGCCCATAGAAGACCTCATGCCTAAGGAGATGACGTGCCTAAAGCTCTCTCCCTGAGCAGGGAGGAGCGGCAGAGACAGCGTTTAACAGACTGACCACAATCCCCATCCTCTGCCCTCTGTGCTGCTGGAAGCCAGGGGAGGAGGCAGAGAATCGGGAGCAGAGCTGAGTTCGCATACAAGGGAGGGGTGGGAGAAGGTGTGTTTAACATCTGGTTGTATTTTCTCATTTTCCTACTCTGACCTGATGGGTAAACTGGTGGTGGTATTTACATTAAATTAATGATTTCTCCCTAAGCCTTCCCTGGTTTTGGCCCATGACCACAACTGGTGAGCGAGCCCTCCTTGTTCTTAGTCTCAAACCTTGAGCTTTTTGTTGCATTTTCTCCTCCCCATCCCAAAAAGGAGGGGGGGGAAGGAGTAAGCAAGTGGCTGAGTGCTTCTTTGTTGCCCGCTCGGGCGAGGCTCAAACCACAACCATGTTCCTTTCTTAAGAGTCCACTTATGACACAAGTTTCAGCCAAGTCACAGAACAGGAACCATTCCCCTAACACATTGCCAGATTAGACACTCCATAAAGACTCGACATCTTAATGATGGGGTGAAAATGTCTTGTTTTAATCCTTGTCTTTCACTCTCTGAGAGTGATTGCTTAATTTAGTATTTGTTCAAAGTACTAAGAAAATGGAGAGAAAACCTGGCAACACATAAGCTGAGTAATCTAAGCTGCTTGTCTGTAACGATCAACCTTCGCTCTACACGTGTACATGATTTTACCGAAGTCTGCCCTGTGTATAAAGCAGAAAATTACAGTCTGTCTTAGATTTTTTCAGAGTTGGATAACTTATGCCTAACTAGAACTTTTACAATCTTTACATTGTTGCAGCTCTGGTCTCATAGTTTTCAATTTGTTTTCACCAAAAAACCTGGCTATGGTTAAGAATTGATTGGCTTAGCAGGACACAATTTGACTTGCACCTCAGCACTCTACACTTTTCTGCAACATATTGGTGTTCCCTTCTTGATGTAAATTTATCAAAATATTTCAGAATGTATTTAATACAATTTTTCTGTTGTGCAATAACTTGAATTTTGGAAAAGGTTTTGTTAGGAATGGGCCATATTACATGAAACCCCTCCACTCACCAAACCAACACACCTACGGCATGGCAAACACCTGCTGTTGGAATCATTCTCCCTTTAGTTGCCTAAGCAAGTCATTACAACAACCTACCAGACTCAATGGAAGGAGATAAACACAACTGTCATATGGAGTAAGAAATAAACGGCGTCCTGAAGATCCTCCTTTCTCCTTTTGATTATGCAGAAGGTTTATGGTAACAAGCTTCAGATTAATATATTTTTCTCAATAACAAAAATTAAACAAGTTCAATTTTACTACTCATGTAGGCATGCTGCAATGTGCAATTACAGAGCTACTGAATTCAGCACAGTTTTATAAATCAATTTGACCCTTGTACAGCTATACTTTCACAACTCATGATTACTTGGTTGTGCCATATATTTTTCACAATTAAGGAACTAGGAATGGAAAAAAAATTAGGTGAAGTAATTACCTGTAAAACCAGTGACACCCAAAGACAAAAGACCATGAAGCCATCAAACACACACCAACGATCCTTTACATAGGAGCTATCACCCTACAAGAGAGAGAAAAGCTAAGAGGTTAATTGTTGTTTTACTGTCAGGATTTACAAATACTATAAACAAAAGTTCTTGGAAGAAGGAAAAGTCTTCTCTGCATCACTTTTTAAATGCCATTTTTGAAAGACTTCAGAAGCTTAGTAACTGGACTAGAATATGCTGGAAACATACAAACACATTGTGTGGGTGAATAAATAATAGTTTCATTCCTGTGCAGTACCTCTGCTCAGCTTGTGCCAGAAAGAACTTATAAGTAACCTATTATTTACACTTTGATGTAAACCACACAAAAAAATGAACACTGGATTCACTTTTTGCAAAGAATATTGGACTTACTGCATCGCCCATTACCAAATACTTGCACAGGATGGTAAATGTAAAATGCTAGCAGTCTACTATTGCACTGTTCCATTACTACAATATTGTTCATGAGCTTCAAAGCTATAAACCCACTTCTTTGGTGGGCTGCTAGTGCCTCACATTTCAACCAATCAGCTGAAAAAAAGTGCTACATTTAATAGATGGATGATTACAACTGAGAGTAGGTAGGCTTGTGTACCACAGGGAGTGTAGAAGTTGGGAACCAAATGCATATATACAGCATCTTGAAAGGGAGACAAAACTAGCCCTAAGAAAAGTAGATAACCTAGTTTCATGTAAAAAATATGAAGAGATAGGTGGCAGTGTATCTCAGGGCACATAAACACCCCTTTCCAATTGAGGTTTTACCCAAGAGATTGAACATACTCTCCTCTGCCTTATACACTCTCTGGTTCCT